CTAGTTTCGAGGGCACTACATGACATATGGATACGGACGAGGCTTGAAGAGATCGAACTGAAGCATGTATATTGAAAACGTGACCAACTCGACGTCTATGTTGTACAAAAGGTACATAGTACAAGAGATTGGTATCTCGTAGATGTCGTACCACTATTGACTGCTCTCCCCATCCAGCCGCTTCTCGGCTCGATGGGATCCGGCCGCATTATGCCCATGCTAACGTAGGAAACGGAATCACTCTGGGTGTGCGCTTATTTGTCGGTTATGCCGAGGAGTGTGTTGAGGTCGGCGTTGGGGTCTTTCGGGTCTGCGATGGCTGTTTGGTTGTCAGTATATATTCTGCTGTATCATACACATGGCCAAGTTGGGAATTTTGACATGTGTCGTCGGTCTGACGTACCGCCTGATGACTTTGGCTGTTCTGAGGGGTGGTCCCGTGCCCATTGTTGCTTTGCTTGCCTGATCAATGACTCCTTGTGCTCCCAGTCCTTCTGTGCGGCCTTTGCCCTATCGGCAGCGGATAATGAGAGCTGGTGGTAGGCACCGTAGAAGACGCCGAATCCGAGGGCGGACCATCGGAGGACCTGTAAATACCACTATTAGCCTGGTTGTTCCATCTCTAGAGCTAGCGGGAGGCCCAAACGGTCGTGCTAGAGACCTTGGCAAGCGCTTCGAGGGGCAGAGCGTACGTTGACACCGACGGAAGTGGACATGGTGAGGGTCGTGCGAGGACTTGCGATAGGCGTTATCGAGCTCGTATATGTCCAATGGCAGGTATTCCGGACGGGCGATGAAAAGTCACCGCTGCAGGGGATCCGGAGAGTCGGGACGAGGGCGTCGGGGCGGATGCGAGATGTTGGGCGTTGAGCTGTGAAAGTTGAGGTTGGCTGGCGCAAGATTTGGTCGGGATCGCTGGCTGCGAGCTAGTGCGTCCCTGAACCACCACCGCTTGGCGCGACAGCATCACCCGACGCGCCTGCCTTTGTGTACATTGCACCTGCCTTTGTCTGTGGATAGTTGACGGCGGGGAGGAAACAGCCTCTGGACACACGACGCAGCTTAGATCTTCTACCACAGCGCCGACACATACTCGACCAAGCATCCCACCTTGCACGTCTCCGCCATGGAGTCGACAATGCAGCAGCGGCGCGATGAGATTCTCGCAAAGAAAGCCAAGTTGGCCGAGCTCAAGCGGCAGCGAGAACTGAGGAAGGCCGAGTCAGCCAGCAGGCAATCCGCGACTGGTAGTCCTCTAGGAGAAGTAGGCTACATATCCAATTGCATCTAATCAGTGACCGACTAACATTCCAGGTCCTCTCGCCAACACCCAGACGCAGCGAAGACCTCGACCGCAGAACCGACGTCACCAACCTCATCAATAGCATCCTTGGGGAGAGTAGACCCGGGTCTACACAGCCTGGCTCCCCGGCAGGTGCAGGACGACCAACCCGCCCGACATCGGTAGTCAGCGCAGGCCAACTGAGCAGCGACAATGAAGGATCCACGGGCTTCCCATCCCTCACCGGCATGGTTGACCGAGAGATGCAGACTCTCTCGCTTGCGCCGCTAGCGACAGTCTACGAGGCTGACGGCCAGGTCACCAACGAGGTCAAGAAGGAGAAGGAAATCATCACATACAGCAAGGGTGTACAAGCAAGCATAGAGTGGACCCCGTCGAAAGACCGAGGCATTGGGGGAAGCGACACGGAGCGCGACGAGAGCCCTACGCGGTCACCCAAGAGCAAGAGGTTGAGCCGGAGACAGAAGGAGAGGGACGAGGAGATCCGAGCGCAGCTGCGCAAGGAAATTGAGGAGGAGCTCAAGGTCCTGCAACAAGCGCCCGAAGAGGGTGCACAACAACCAGGGTCAGAAGAGAACTTCCCGTTCAAGACCCTCACAAACGAAGAATTGACGGCTGTCGAGAACTCGGAGGAGTTCATCGGCTTCGTCGAGCGCAGCACGAAAGTGCTGGAGCGAGCGCTTGACCAACAACTTGGTTACGACATCTTGGCAGACTACGCAAATGGTGGTGTAGACGTCGACGATGACGATGAGGGTTACGGTTCAAGTGGAGGCAAGAAGGGTCGCCGCATCAAGGAAATCGCACAGTTCTGGGATGAGCGATGGAGCAAGAAGAGGATGATCTCAGATCTCGGCTTCTCAACAAAGGTATGGAGTGGAGTGGCGTCTGGCAATTATGACACTGACATGCTTCACAGTTCCCAGAACTCGTCCTTGCCTCGTACACCAAGAACCCGTCCGCCCCACACGACCCTGACGGTCTCGTACAAGTATGGAACCTGCACATGCACGATCGACCCGAGTACATCTTCCATGCGCAGTCCGATATCCTTACCGCCAAGTTCTCCCCGTTCCACCCAAATCTTATTGTTGGAGGCGCATACTCAGGGCAAGTGCTGCTATGGGACACTCGCGCGAAGTCCGCACCAGTGCAGAAGACACCGCTCACTGGCTCCGGTCACACACATCCCGTCTACTCGTTAGACATTGTCGGAACGCAGAATGCAAACAACATCATCTCGTGTTCGACGGATGGTGTTGTGTGTGGATGGACTGTTGACATGCTTTCACAGCCCCAAGAGTTCCTTGAATTGACATCACCACCGCCAGCCAAGACAGACGATATGGCAGTGACCAGCATAGCCTTCCCGCAATCGGATCCGACTTACTTCCTCGCAGGCACAGAAGAGGGTACCATTTACCCATGCCATCGCTATGACCGAGCCGGTGCGAAAGCAGGTGTAGACGGCCGCGTAAAGTACGCTGGCCATGCTGCGCCCGTTATGAGTCTAGACTTCCATCCCGCCAAGGGTCAGATCGATCTAGGAGACCTTGTTCTGTCGTCGAGTGTCGACTGGAGCGTCAAGCTTTGGAAGGTCCGCCCGCCGGCTGCTACAGGCGCTACCAACCCAACACTTCCTGGTGCAACGCAACAAGTAACACCCGTTCTCGACATTGCACGCGAAGATCTCGTTTATGACGTTCGATGGTCGCCTGTCAAACCCTCCGTTTTCGCGCTTGTCGACGGAGCGGGAAGTCTCGAAGTCTGGGATATCAACGTAGATGTCGAGGTTCCTGTTCAATCGGTCAAGCCCAGTGACGGTAAGCGTGGCGCGTTTACGAACATGCCAACTGGTCTTGGCTACATGAACAGGAGTCTGAACAAGTTGGCATGGGAGAGGAACGAAGGGCGCAGAGTTGCAGTGGGAGGCATGGATGGCGTCGTCACCATCTTCGAGGTAGGCGATGATCTTGGAGGTGTCCAGACACGTAGCGAGGAGTGGAGTGGCGTCAAGAGGTTGGTAAACCGGTTGGAAGGTCACGGTGATGGTACCAACGGGAAGTAAGATTCTATTGAATGTCTCTCAATGGACACTTCCAGGGCCTGGAGGACGGTTGTGGCAGTGCTTCAATACCCATTTCTTTTCAGCGGAGCATCATTCTGGAGTCGGCAGTTCACTTTCTACCATACCCCAAGCATCACAAATCCACATTCTATACAGAGTACGCGGGCCCAGAACACTACAGGTGTGGCGGTGCATCGACGCTCGTAGCACAATTGCGCACGTCAATTATCCTAGCTCGACGCGTTCTCGTCTCACAAACGGTGATCATGCCCCAACTCATGGTCTCCACGTTGCGATTTCATCAGGGCAGCCCGTTAGCGCACGAGGCTAAAGTTCCCCCCACCAGTTAAACCTCACGGATCCCCTGGTTTACCCAGCCACAGGTAAGCCGCACCTCCACACCTACATCATCGATGGCCAACAGGTTTCCTATCGCGAGACGGGTGCTCGGAACAGAGCATTGCATAGATGGGTCGGTGTCCCCGCTTCTGCCGGTGCAGGATCAACGAATGGAACGCCCAGTTACCGCCACTTCGCAAGCCTGATGAAAGTAGGTCTGGCTAGTACGTTAAAGCGCTGATGGTGCTGTCGCTTCAACCGGGTCCGTTAATCCGTCAACAACGCTTCTGATGATGCTTGGTGTCCTGCTCAAGCTCGTGCCGGCGCTGCGATGGCCCATTGTATCTGCTGGTCAGGGCGCGAACCATGAACAGATGTAATTATGCATTCTCAACCGCGAATTGGTCAACAGGAGCGAAGTTTACTGACATTGACCAATCTAGTGCAATAACTTCCTGCATATCGGCCGTTAAGGGCTACTTTCCCTGCAATACCACCCCGATTCCCGACTATACGTGCCTGTGCGAACAGTACCTATGGCGCGTCTCATGCTTCGACAACCACGCGTCGCATCCAACATCGCACCCGGATCGTTCGATCGCCGAGAGTTATACGAGCGACTATTGTCTTGCGGCAGGTAGCATTGGCGCAGAAGAAGTGCGGAGGAACCATCAGCGTCAACGGAGACAGATTGGCGATCTGTTATCCAGCATCGTTGGCGATGTCTCGTCAGTGCTGTCGAGCAATGGCGTTACGGTACCTACGGCCGTCATCGAGAGCGTAGCGGGTAGTGTGGTGAATGCTTTACCAACACCTGCGAATCCTACGAGCATTGCGGCTGAGATCACGGCAACGAGTGCAACAGAAGAGGCAAGCAGTACAGCGAGGAGCACCGGACCGACAACAACAGAGGCATCGTCAACTGCGGGCGCAGCTTCAAGCACCGCATCGGAAGAACCAGCGTCGTCGAGTGCAGCTGCCGCAGGCGCATCATCCTCAGATTCAAGTTCCGGTCCCTCAACAGGTCTAATCGCTGGCGTGGTAGTAGGAGGAGTCGCAGCTCTGGCGCTAATTGGCATATTCGTCCTCCTTCTCCTCCGTCACCGGAAGAAGAAATCCAGAAGCGCGGCTTTGAACGACAAAGAGGCCAGCCCCGCAGCATCTTCTTCGTCTGACCACTCCCCACCGACGAATAGCGCATACACACATATCCCGCATCCAAACACGTATTCTACCACTACTACCCTTCCTACGCAAACCGACAGGTCTTCAACACAACCAACAACAATGATGTCTCCTGTATCTCCTATGGAGTCTGGAAGCCAGGCACCATGGGCATCAACATCGACCTTTGGAGGCGCAACAGCCATGGGAGCGGGTGCCGGTGCCGGCGCCGTCGCTGCACGCCATTCTCTAACCAGTACCACTCCGGCACCCCGATACTCCGACGAGAAGCCAGCACAATATCACCAATACATGGATTCCAAAATACCAGAAAGCAACGAGATGCCGACCAATGCCAACGTCTGGGAAATTGACGGCAGAGAGATGCCGCCGCCCAGCGAGTTGGATGCGGGCAAGAGAGATGGGTTAAACTTGGGCGATGTAGGCAGTAATACACAGGGACAAGGGCGGGTTCAGCAACAAGAGTATGTCGCATATAGACCGCCGACCGTGGAGCATGGGCAACATGGCGAATTTTTGGGCAATAGACCGGTTGGTCAGGCTCTCTGAGTAGGTTGATTGAGCAATGAATTTATGAGTTTCTTATGCAATACTTTGGAGCTCTCATTCCGACTGTGCTGTCGACGAGTCTTTCGTCGGATTCTGAACCTATCAAGATTGCAAGTCATCGTACGGACTGGGGAATTCCATGTTCAAGCCATAGTCCTGAAATGCCCAATCTAATTGAGAGTAGGATGCATCGAAGCTTGGCCAGATGTCGGTGAGATATCTTTGGAAAGCCTCGTCGCTATATAGAACCCCTATCTGGTCCGTAACAGCATCGTTGTTGGCTGGTATAGCCAGTGTTGAGACTGTGCTGTTGGATGTGGTAGTACCACCTCGATGCGCGTCTCGCAAGCTGTCGTGTGCACCGTCGCTTATCAGTCTGCAAAGCCGTTTTGCAAGCTTAGCCACGCCTCTCACGCTAGTCCATCGTTCACTCAGGTCGTCGAGGGCACCGCAGCACTGGCGAAGGTCCACTCGTGCTTTACCAATGTCTCTTACACGATCGTGCAAAGCGCGATAGATGACCGTCGTGGACATGGACATGGCATATGGAACCAGTGGGAGCGGAGGAAGGCCTTCGCACCCTTGACGAGAGATCATCTCGAGCACTCTGTCCGCGGATGCCAGACGCCTATTGTATTGTTCGGTGTCCGGTCCGCTATAGCGACAAGATAGCATGGCGGCAACATGATACCATGTTTCCAGGTATACTACTGCTTTAAGTAGGCTGAATAGTCAAGTCGTTAAGTGTCTTACCTCGATGCGACAAGTGGAACTGATCAAAATTACTCCCACCCGTAATTTCTGACAGTGAAGGAAAGTCCCAGCAACTATCGATCGCCGTTGTGGCGCCAGCTTTGTAAGCTCTAGTCGCGGTAGTCATGAGGTCTCCAAGAGCGAGAGAGATAGCCATAATTTGGGAGCGATAGCCGTCTTTGTTCGGTTCTATGCGTTCGACACCGATATCCGCATCGTCGATGAAGAAGGGCGCTGCTGCCATGATAGGCTTGCCCAGACGGTCAAAGTTGCGAAGTGACCACCACAGATACTTGCATTCGTCATTGTCGGGGTTGCCAGGTATCTTGAGGTGTATGCACATCGACCACGCTTCACAGATGGCCTGCGACAAGTAACTGGACGCGCGGTCTACGCCGGTTAGGCCGTCGTTATGCAGGTGCATCAGTGCTAAGATCTGGATCTTGATGATGCGATTGGGTTCCAAATCTGCTTTGATGGCAGCATCGAGTCCAGCTAGAAGCTTTGATGCAAAGTCTAGAGGTTTGAGTAAAGGCCCGGAGTCAGTCAGTCGTAAGAAAGGAGCAGCGTGTTTTGTTTTGCAGACAACAAGACATATTGCCCTCACCAGATAGATGGATGCTTGTCCGTTACTGTGGTCGCGGAAGACGGCGGCACCATCGGTGATGGGGGTGAGGTCATTCAACGTCGAAATGTACAAGGGTAGGAGAGCGTCCGTCGTGGTTTTGGGTAGTGACGCAAAAGCTCCTTCTTCTTCGAGATATTGCCGATATGACTCGGATAGGCTCGGCGTAGTGGTCCGGATCTTATGTTGCTCGTACCACTTCAATCGGCGCTGTGCTTCGTATGCGGCGGAAGGAGTGAGTAACATAGCTTGCGGCGTAGGTTGTGATAATGCTGCATGTACTGTCTGTCCTAAGGCGCTTGATTCTGGCTCAACGACTTCTGATAGAGCTGCGAGAACGGATTCAGGGTTGTATTCGCTGACGCGACCGGGGCTTAGAATGGGCTCGCCTATATCAGTGTACAGATGAGGCTCTTGCACTCGACTTCCTGTTCCGCAAGTTCGCTCCTTCCTTCGATATCCGCGATCCTCAAAATGGTAACATCGTTTCTTGCGTGACCGACAAGTGGAGCATGCTGCAGCCGTCCGTTTCTTCGGTGCCTTCCCTCCCGAGTGCCATACAATCTCCATGTTTGCCGCAGGATTCCAGAGCCATGAGTCGATCGAAGTGTGTAACAAGCGGGAGCAGTGTCGATGTGCTACCTACACTCTCCACACTCCGCTGCTCCACACGAACACCTGCAACGAAAGGCTCGATTACTGGACACTAACAATTTGCTTAGCCCCGATGACTTCTGATTTGATGCTCTACTACTAACGATGCATAGTACCAATTCACCTTGAATCATGCAGACTCAAGGAAGATGCCGTATAAAGATGGGTGTAAGGCCACTCTGGTTGTCGCCAATTCCATATCCAAACTCCATTATCTTCTACTACTGTACATCCGAGTCTCCTCCCCTGAAACCATGACTTCTCCACAGATCAAGCGCTATGTCATTGTGGGCATGGGCGTTAGATCCGCGTTCTACTACCAAAGCATCATCCAAGACTTCAAATCGAGCGCTACAGTCGTTGGTATATGCGATACCAATGAGACACGTATGAAGGCTGCAAATGATCGCATTGCCGAGATTGGCGGCGAACGCGTCCCGATGTACAAGGCAGAAGACTTCGACAAGATGGTCAAAGAGCAAAAGGCCGACGTCGTAATCGTCACAACCATCGACAAGTTCCACCACGTATATTGCATCCGAGCTATGGAGCTGGGTTGCGACGCGATTACCGAGAAGCCAATGACTATCGACGAAGAGAAGCTGCAAGCGATGATCGATGCGGAGAAGAGGACAGGCAAGCAAGTTCGTGTTCTCTTCAACTATCGATATGCACCTCACCACACGAAGCTACGCGAGCTTGTCGATTCCGGAGTCATTGGTGAAATCTCGACGGTACACATGGACTGGATTCTGGACTGCGCACATGGATCTGATTTCATGCGACGATGGCATCGAAACAAAGACACCAGCGGTGGTATCCAGATGCACAAGTCCATCCATCACTTCGACTTGGTACATTACTGGCTGAACACGGAACCCGAGATGGTCTACTGCGTCGGTAGCTTACGTTTCTACGGTAGAGAAAACGCCGAGCGGCGCGGGGAGAAGAACCTAGGTGAACGCTATCTCAACAACGAGGCTGCGAAAGATGACCCGTTTGCCATTCATATCGACCAAAACGCCCAACTGAAGAAGTTATACCTCGAAGCTGAGCACGAGGATGGCTACATCCGTGATCGCAACTGCTTCGCTGATGGTATCACTATTGAAGACAATCTCTCCATGATCATCAAGTACAAGAATAAGGCCGTCATGACATACAACACGTATGCCTATGCGCCATGGGAGGGGTACCGCTGCGTATTCAATGGTAGCAAAGGCCGCATTGAGATAAACGTCGTCGAGGGCGGGTACTCAGCGGGCGGTGAGACTGTCACCAACGAAGGGCTGGGTGAGCTTGAAGCAAACTACATCCAGGGTGGCGTAGAGAAGACAAACATTGTGGTGTATCCCTTGTGGGGACAGCCTTATGTCGTTGATGTTGTCAAGAGCGAAGGCGGCCACGGAGGAGGCGATCCCCTGCTTCTGCGAGATGTAATCGCTACGAGCGACGGTGAAGATAGCTTCAAACGAGCTGCGTACATTCGGGATGGCGGTAATGCTGTCCTTGTCGGTGTTGGTGCAAATCGCTCCATGGAGACCGGCATGCCTGTTCAAGTGCAAGATCTTGTCAAATGGTAGTGGATGTCTTTCCTGGCAGAAGTTTTGATGAATAGAGATGGATTTGACTCCTAGTAAGCTGTCCGTAGTGCAATTGCAACTGTTGTCGTAAGATTCTGATGACTGGTTGGTGTCTTGGTTTCCAATGGTAGATCCCAACGCCACAGCAAGCCACCAGAATCTTCGTAATATGCACTTCTCCTACAATAGAAATGAGTGCATATCATACTGCAGGATGTTGCGCGTCGTTTCGGCATCGCAAAATGTCGGGGTCCGGCAGTGGTTCGCGTGCGGCAGCATTGCGGAGACCCGAACGAGACAGCACTAAGCCTTCCCGACCAATCAGACACCTTCCATCCGGACTGACAGCCTATCAGAAACCAGGAGGCTGGCTGTCTCACCACGTTAACGCGATACGCATCGCTGTTTGTGCTGAAAACTTACGTCAGACTTGTGAGTACTACATGCTCAATACGGCAATTCCTGGGTGGATAGTGATGATCCGGAGTATCGGGATGAGCGCAGGGTCCCCTGGCATCCAAGTAAAAAGAAGCCATCGCCGTGAAGCTTGAAACCCTGTCATTCAGTGTACGCATCTCAAGAATAACCTACACAAGCTTCAAGTATCGAAGAAAGACAGCAACGAGTTTCAAGACATACCGAGCAAACACCGCCAATATGCGCAAATCCTCCCTCCGAAAGACGACTCTCCTCTCCCTCCTCGGCATCTCGTCCGCAACAACACAGTCATGGGGTGAGCCCTTCGCCGTCAAACCCGCAGCGGAAACATCAACAGAGAACCTGCTCCCATCCGCGTCTCCGACTCCGTCATGGGGTGACGCCTTTACCGTCGACAACAGCGTCAGTACACCAGCGAGCTCGCTCCCAACATCATTAGCTGTAGCACCGAGTCTGGCAGTCGATACAGCATCACCTGTGCCTTCCAACACAGTGACCGAAGATGTTACAGTGATCACTGGGATTCAAAGTGCTGTTGGTTCGAGGACTGCGAGCTTTGATGCAAGTTCACAGAGTGTGACGGGGAGTGTAGGAAGCAGTACAGAGAGCGCGACGGGTACCTCACGTCTTGTAGAGGCTACCGGTGCTGCAGTCCCAGGAAGAGGTTTCAAGAAGATGGGTTTTGCGGGTGCGATGGCTGGGGCTGCGGGAGTGCTATTTTTGTAGAGTGGAGAGAAGAAGCAGGCGTTTTGTGAAGAGGGGTGATGTTCTCAGGGGACGAAATTTTATGGATAGAAAGAGTGTTGGAAAGTCGATACCAGTTATTCAGGTACAGGCACTGGAATGTTTTAGGCCAACACTTGGACTGAGAAAAAGCTACTAAAGTGAGGGGAGAGTGCGGTAGGACCTTGACGATTAATGAGAAGTTAGATGGAAGTACTACGCAATGATAGAGATGAGAGCAAGTTTGCGGATACTATGGCATAGCACCAGCACTGTGGGTACGTAGCTTTAGATACGAGCAAGAAAGAGCCGACTGTATCAATTGCAAAAACATTGTTGTAGTGTAGTCCGTCCAACTCAACTCGGGTTTACCTGGCGTTGTCGTGATCGTCGTTGCAGCAACGGTCCTGGTATCCAAGTCAAGCTAGAGTCAACGTGTTAGGTAAAAGCGAGGGTTAACGATATGTTGACAACCTGGTCATAATACCGAAGTACGAGCGAATGCAACAATGTCGGTTATCGAAAGCGAGGGAAGCGGCTACGTAAGCATTGAGGCATTTAATGATGCCCAACGTTAGACTGTAGCCTCCGCGTATTGCGCGGACTGAGGAATGGCGAAAGGCTTGCAGGATCAAGAGTACTCTGAACGGTGAGCCTAAGCAAAGGCGAAGACTCACCATACTGTTCAAGGCTCGGCTTCAGCTGCGCTTCATTAGTTCCCAGCTCGCGACCGCTCTACCATCGGCTCAAGCCTTTTTGACTAGCCTCTCTTGTGATTACAAACTAAATATATCTTTCAGCGCCGCCGCGTTGGCAAGAAGGTCCTTTGAAATTTTCGGTATGCAACGTATCAATCCATCTCTTCTAAAGCTAATAGCACATCAGCCTCGGCCTGGCCGCCACTACTCGGCGCTAGCGTGTGCAAGCCGTGGCAAGTCCTGGTTCGATCAAAACGCTGTTGACCGCGTGATACAAGACATTTGACGCGCAACACACGGCACCAGGCAGTGCTACATGTCTACTCTCTTTTGGGTTGGTGGGCGGGTGGCTTGGTTGGTAGGCTTGCGCAGTACTTGTAGTTAGTGATGGTGGAACTCGGTGTACGCCGGCTGGTTAGAAACTAGCTGATGGTGGCGATGCGGGTGCTGCTGCTGTTCGCGTCCTTGGGGCTGTGTGCTTGTCAAGACGCAACAGAGTGTTGAAGACCTCAAGCGATAGATGCGACGGAGAAGAGAGAATCGCTGGGGTGTAGTTACGGTGTGGCAACGAGCAGCGGGTTCTTGCAGCTTGCTTGATGCATCTGTGGAGAGGTGGGGAACAATCCCGCTGTGGGGTCACCTGGTCAGTCAACCACAGTTTTCCTGGCGCGACGAACGACAAGATGCGATCTTCAACTCCGCGTTTCAGGTTCTTGACACGCGCCAAACGCAACGTCATATTGCGCACACGCCAAAGAGTGATTAACTCCAGTACCTACTGTGTACTACCAGATTGCTGTGATAGATATGCGGGGATAGCGCGCATGTAACGCATGATGACAGCCTCGTACCACGGTACCGTTGAGACATGATGGATGCGGTACCACGCGGATGATTGATTGTGACGTCTGTGCTACGATGATAGAGATCTTCCAAGCGTTGCGGAAGTAACAAAAGAAGCAGGGAAGCGGAACGGATGTTTCACAGTAAGTGCGCATAGGCCAAGAGCACCCAAGTTCGCACAAGCAAAACTACATCTGATACATCATGAGACGTGAGGCATGGTGTCATTGCACGCATCACTTGCAAGATCATGGATGAGTAGGCAAATGCTTCCATATTATCATTTTCTGCTACGTCTATACAAGCTCTTTGCATAGCGTTCCCATCAGATACACCAATCACGGATGCCAATGCTCGCGTGACTCAAATTGACAATAGATGCTAGAGGGGGTTCCCACAGATTCCAATGCTAACATGTCGTAAAAGGACAATTATAGTATAAGGTCGTGAAGGGAAACGCTTATGCGAAGTAGGCGAAAGCGGCGGCGGCACCGAGCATGGCAGCGACGGGGCTGCGGATGTTGGCACCAGAGTCAGTGACCTCAGGAAGGCTGGCGCTGCCAGTGGCAGAGCCGGAAGAAGAGCGGGTAAGAGTGGCAGAGGTGACGGTAGAGTTGACGCCAGCGGAGGGGCTGATGGTGGCGGAAGCAGAGGCAGCGCTGGTGATCATGCTGGACTTGGCGCTCTCAATGGCGCTGCTGAGGGCAGCAGAGGCGGAAGATGCAGCAGATGCGGTAGCGGACGAAGCAGAGGCCATGGCGGAGGAGACGGCAGAGGAGACAGGGGAGTCATCCTCCTCAGCACCACCAGAGAGGGGGAACTGGGCGGAGTAGTTGATGGTGGTTCCCTGCTGGATCTGGAGAGCGTAGTCGGGCTCGTTGACGAGAGACTTGGTAGGGGTCCACTCGAACTTTCCACCGGTAGCGGAAGCTAGAGTTCAGTTAGAATTGGAAGATCATATCTCTGTCAGATCGGGCACATACTGGTAAGAGTGGCAACAGTGTCGAGGTCAGTGGACTGTCCCTGGCGGAGGATGAAGGTGGTGGGGGTGTCGTCCGCGGGGGAGTAGGTGATGGTGTAGGTCTGGCCAGCAACAACACCCTCAGCAGGGAAGTCGTTGATCTCGAGGGCAGCGACGGCGGCAGCGAAGGCCGCGGCGGAAAGGATGGTCTCGAAGAAGCGCATGGTGACGGTAGTTGGATTGGTGATTAGGGTATTAGAACTGTAGTAGCTGTATGGGTATATGTAGTTGGATAAAGAACGAGTGACTGTGTACAGCGATAGTGCGACGTGGGAGTGAAGAAGAAAAGACGACGGTGGGCGACGCGGTATAATAAAGAATACGCTGACACCCAACGGCTACCTGGACCGGATCGAGACGCCAAAGCAACGGCAGAAGACGCAAAATTGCCGGACGAAAGCAGTATAGCTCGCTCTGGAGCTAATGGATGAGGATGCTCATGCGCCCAATCGGCCGTTCGCCAGTGAGACGCTTGGCCAGGAGCCCCCTTTTCCTCTGTTCGCACAGCCCTCGAGGCATGTCGCCTAGGATCATAGCGAGCGTCTAGCCCAGGAGCCACTCACCGACGATGCATCCCGGCGCATGAGGAGCACACCAACGGCCGCCGTGCCACGATGCTAAGCTGTTTGGAGGTTAGAAGGCAGCCACCCAATAATCCGGGGAAAATTCAGGGGCCTTGCTGCCATCGTGCTGCCGCATAACCGCGCAGGAACACGAGGTGTCGACGTAGACTACAAAACGATGGTGACAGACTGTCGCTCGAGAGTTGGATGTTGAGTAAAGTTGCCGGCGCAAACTACAGGCGTCGAAGCTGTACCTGCATTGGCGCCAAGGTCTCCCCTGCTTACTCGGCCACCCCCGGCACCTGCCATCTTCTGTAACTTTGCTCGCCTAACATGTCAGCTCCACCACCACCTCATGCGAACGCCGGTCTCGCACATGACCTTAACCGCCGGGGGCGACGTCATCCTCTACCAGGGCGACTCCAATCGCCGCCTTGATCTCCCCCTATCGATATGCGCCGACATGACTGCGATCTACGACCTTCCCTGGAAGACTTTGCCAGCCTAGGGGCGAGACTTGGTCGGTGCGACACCGGTGATGAGCCTACGGTTTTAGCACGGAGCCGATGGGTCTGCAGACGGCCCGAGATTTGGGCCCCACCCAAAGGAGATTTGACTGTGGGCTGGCCTTGACGAAAATGACCGGCAGCAAGATGCAAAGTTGGAGAATGAAGCGGTGACTATCGTTCAAAAGATCATATCGCACCTGGTAGATGCATATGCGCATCGGATATGTCAGAGCGGTATGTCGAGCAGCATCATGCCGTCTGCGCACATCTTAGCAGCATGCACCTATTGCTTATGGTAAGCTGGATCATGTTATTATTACATTCTTCCAAACAATCGCATGCACGCCCAGCATCGGCAACGTTGGGACCAAGGACGACAAGAAAGTCGCTGAAACCCAAATGACCGGCGTTGATTGTACGATGTCATATGTGTATGGATGTAGTAGGGAGTATCCTGTAGGGCGTACATGTCGCTGACAGCAGCCTGCGGTATCGATCTCTCTGAAATACAAGAAACCAAATTGGATGAGGATGTCATACACGGAAGCTGCACGCATGCTGAACAGGTCTGCAGCCTACATTAGGATAAGAACATGCAAAGTGGGTGACCTAACATCGACGTAGGCTCCAGGATGTTAGGTTTTTCCCTTGAATAAGGTCATCTCATCGTGCTGCAGGGTCCTCACTCATGTAATACGCTGCTTGTGCACATAAAAGGCTGCCACCTCATACAAAAAAGTTGAGCAGGTCTGCAGCCTACATCAACATGAAAACGTGTAAAGTAGATAATCTAACGTCAATGTAGGCTCCAGGGTGTTCAAATTTCTTCTTGAATAAGGTGCTAGTGTGGTTGTGAAAGCTGGAGCGAGCACATGACACAAGTCATGAACAATGAAGATGTAGAGAAATGCTCCATTTACTGAAGAAGATCGCTGATGATCCTTATAACTCTCTTCACATACGTGCGAGTGGTGCATCTGGCTTCACCGCATTTTCCAAGCATGAGAACGACCCACTTGGTCATAGACGCAAATCCGTCCGTCTGCTCAAGGCTGGATGCTTCAGGTGAAGACATCCTCCTCCCACTTCTTCTCTCTCTTGATGAACTCCTCAGCGTCATCGGGGAAGTTCTCTTCCATGGTGTCCTCCACCGTCTGAGCCTTCTTGCCACGGGACTTGGGTGTCGCCTTCTTCTTAGACGGTGTAGCGTCCTCGGAGCCGGAAGACATGTCCTTTCTCTTCTTAGGGGTTGCCTTGGCGGTTGCTGGGGTAGTCTGACCTGTACAGTGTTAGTTTTGTCAAAAGTAAAACACTATGCAGTTGATCTTGCAAAACTTCAAGCACGTCAAAGAACGTACCACGCTTGCTACCAGGCGGAACCGGCTCGAACTCCTCGCCAGACTCGAGGCGCGCTTTGAGCTCCTTGGCCTTGGCGAGTACGGAACGGAAATCGTGCTGGAAGCCGCTTGCGGTCTTGACGCCGTCGAGCGCGCTCATCATCTCGTAGTTTTTGTTGGACAAGCTGGTGGTGCCAGTGCTGCAGAGGACAGCGGCGACGACGTCGGCAGTGAAGACCTTGCCGGCCTTTTCCGCGGCGGCCTTGGGAGGCATGTTGATGATGGTGTAGTGTAAGGGAATGTTGTGATGTGGCTTGAAGAGATGATGCTGGAGAGCGATGGTCGTCTGCGAGGTAGGAAGATTGAACTCGAAGTGCGATGTCAAGAGAGGAGAGTAGAAAGCCAGAGGACGAGCTGAAATAGGCAGGCGCCTGACTACTGCGCTGGCGTAGTGAGAGAAGTCGCTGTCTAAGCAAAGCGGTGGTGACGGTGAGATCTTGTGGGGCTTTGAACAGGTTCACCACTCACCTTCACCTAGACAAGGTAAGCCCATACCCAACTAGAAGCTAGAGAAAGACCGCGCTTTCCTAGGCCACGCAGAAGTAGGATAATGTAGCCTACCTCCATCCTAGCCATTCAGGCGACTGTCCATATCGGAGTGAGCAGGTGAGAAAACCCGGTGCATCACACTCTGGACCACCTGTTCAACCACTGAAAATTGCATGTCGGCCTCATAACACACTATGAGCCACCTCTCCGGTCATTGAAAGTTATGTCTAGTTTCAAATATCGAACACATCCCCATCAGCTGCCCACGATCTTTCAATTCGCGTCTTCACTAATCATAATCGCCCATCCAAGGCTCGATGCCGATCCATCAACTATCCTCTCTCTCCTGCTCCTTTTGCATCTGCTTGAGCCGCTCCATTTGCAACTCCGAAACAAAACGTAGACCTCCCTGTGTCGGACCACCGCGAAGGTTCTCGCATTCAAAGCACTCACAACACTCTGGCATAAAGAGCATAGTTCCGTGACCGCACCTCTTCACCTTCTCGAAGTACCGCTCCAGAGCCTGATTAGGAGTTTCGTCCCTAGGGCAGTTTGGTGTACGAACGGCTGCGTCATGCACGTCTTTCAAGGAGTACACATTGCTCCAGTATCGCTTGCTGTACATGACGTAGTTGGACTTTCTTTTTACCCCAGCAGTCTTGAGCTGATTCTCCCTCATGTGAAAAAGACCTGCGACATCGCCACCACTAATCGTAATCAGCTTCCCTTGAGTGTCTTTAAATCGGGAGATTTCCGTCTCAGAAGCTGCACTGTCCCTCCTGGAAGAGGGTTTTGTCGGCGTTTTCACCGGCTCGGCGCTGGAGGCGTGCTCTTTCCAGTATAATAATCCCTTCTTCACAATATGCTCTCCGTCCAGATCCTTGCATGCCTTTGGTGTTCTGAGCATCCAATTAAGGTAGCCCTCATTGCGGCCTTCTTCATGGACCTGTTTCAAGGTCTTGCCCCTGTGCTTTCCCGTTTTAAGGATGTAGTGTGTATATGGGTCGTTCACCGCTCGATTGCGGTACTCCTCATCGGCTTCGTTTTCGAGGGTCTCGTTGGTAGGAACGAAGCTGTTCTTGTTTGGGTTTGACGAATTGCCCCATGCCTTCTTCGGTGTCCGGTATGGTGGCATCTTCGGTCGCGCAATACAGCGGGTACGATACGGGGGCTAATGCAGAAGCGTCGGCAGCGGTGGGGCGGTGGTCGTGCTAGGAAGATTAACCTAACATGTTATCGTACCGATTTTCTACAACGTCCACACAGATAGTATTGTACTTACTGCTGCGAGTGTACCTCATCAAATTGAATGAAAGCGGTCGACTCGATGAGGGTTACGGATTTTATGATCGTTGAGTCGCGACGCGACCGCTGGAATGCGGAACCGTGCCGCCGCGCGAAACCCTGGCTGTGACGTACCCCTGGTTCATCACCAACGCTGCAATTGGACTCTCGACAGCTGCATACATCCAATTGCTTGTGAGATCGACAAGAATGCTATCTGTAGTTTCTTTGTTTCGTATCATGCCTACAACTTGGATGCGTCTGGCTAATCAGCGACGTGTCTCTCTGATCACGAAGCATCTTTCCGATCCATAGGAAATGCGAAGGTCAGCAGCCATCGCCGTGACAATCAAGAAGCGGGAGGCATATCGCGACGTTCGTCAGAGGCATAAACGATGAATTCTTACACTCGATAAGAGATCGAGATCCTAGATGTTCATTCTTAACAAAACGATAAGTGCACCCCATTTGCTGGAAAAGGTATACACCTAGCTCGGCGAAGTGCAGTTATTTCAAAGGAAGCTTAGAAGGCTACAATGCCTTAAACAATTTACAACCTTAGGTTTTTATCGCAATGTAGACTTTAGGGCACCTGTTAAGGTTTCCTCTTGAATGGGGTGAATGCTAGCTTTCTTCGATCATGCCAGTTACCACCAGTGTTTAGGCGCACGGTCATCGAAATCAGAACGCGTGCATGTCGCAATGCTCGACCTTAATCTTATATCCAGGTAAAATAAGACGTTGAAGCCTAAGGAATGTGTGTAGACGCAATATTCTTATGTTGGAAGTGTGTTGAGAAGGTGAGGGGTAGGAGCATGGGCAACTTGTTTGGCCTTAGCCTAATCGAGCTAGTCAGTCGCGAAACTCACGTTTTCACGCGATATAACCGCCGTTTTGAGACGCATGACGTCGCACACTACGCGTCTGAACCCTTTGACTTGAACCCCATCATTCTAACAACATCAACTAAATACCTTCCTACTACCTTGCGTCATGTCAGGCGAACCTGAGTCTTCCGTGGCAGCACCGGCACCTTACTACATTTCGAAGTCGGCTATCTGTACCAACAGCAAAGGCGAGAGCATTGGTAATGGTCTTTTTGCTAACCGAAGGTTCGGTTCAGGCGAAGAGGTCGCAAGCTTCAAGAGGCCTCTTGTTGCTTCATTGGAGACGGAACGGCTGCTCGATACCTGTGCGAATTGCTACCTCTGGACTGAAGGTTCATCGACTGGAACAAGGTTGTATGTACCGGAAGGCGCAAAAGTGAACAAGTGTGCTGCATGCCAGATCTTCCGCTACTGCAGCAAGGTACGTCGAGTTATCTGCGGGTATGTTCGTAGACTGATATGCATCAGGCATGCCAAAAGGACGCATGGAACCGGGGACATAAGCATGAGTGCAAGATGCTGAAGCCAACGGCTGGTAGACCCCTCCCCAAAGCCTTACTTGCATGTATGGAACTATTCATTAGGCGAAAGCATGGTTTGATTTCCGATGAAGAATGGGAGCTGCTTTGTCGCTTACCTTCGCACATTGACGAATTCAAGCGGAACGGAACCTACGAGAATATCGAACTCATGGCTATGGGTGTCGGTCAGTTCTCGTCGTTGCAAAACCTTTTCGACAAGGACTTTGTTGCAGCGATGTATGGTCGAGTAAGTCTGTGATGGACTCTTCTAACTTTCTCACTGACATGTATAAAGGTAATGTCAAATGCTCTGACACTGATCACACCTACGTTAGATCCTCTAGGTATCATGATCGACCCTACACTCTGCCATATGAATCACTCCTGTAACCCGAACGCATACATCATGATGGACGGTCCGCGAGTGAGCGTTCGTACACTCCGACCCATCAAGAAAGACAAAGAAATCTACATATCGTACATTGATGCTACGAATCCCTACCACCGGCGACAAGAAGAGCTCCAATCCCGCTGGTTCTTTACCTGCCGCTGCGCCCAATGTCAGGAAAAGGCGACTCTCCAGGAAGACAACTGGCTGGTACCATCAAGGCCTGGATGGGTCTTGGGAGCCGAAGTTGCGTCCATGGCAGAAACTCAGGAGAAGCTGTTTGGTCTCTATGCGGAACTCCAAGCAACAGAGAACCCCCTGCTTGTTAGAGCAGCGATCAGGCAAGCACTCAAGATATGCCATGAGGCAATGTTTCTGCCGATTTATCGACAACCATATGCTGCACTCCGCGACGACTTGATTGTGAACCTGCTTTCCGAGGGACGTTACCAGGACGCATGGGCGCAATGTGCAAAGCGGTATAAGTACATTCTTCCCAAGCTCTACCCAGTCTCGTTCCACCCGGTCCGGGTAGTACAAACATGGCAGATGGCGATGTTGGCCGCGTACCTAGCAAGTACTCCAGAGGGTGTAGGTGCACCGGAGGTGAATATGGGTCTCATTGCCATGATGTTGGTAAAGCAGGTGTTGAATGTAGCGCACCTGAGTCATGGGCTGGCTAGTACATTCACAAAGAGTGTGAAGGCCAAAGCGGAAGAGATGACAGAAGAGCTCAAGAGGAGTATTGGAAACGCAAACAGTGATGTCATGAACAGGGAGCTTGAGGTTCAGAGAGACAGGCTGATGGAGATGGGGGATTGGGCTCAGGACGGCCAGATAGAGGAACGGGCAAAGATTCTAACTCTGCACGAGAAAGCCTTCAGTGTATGAGCACAGCCACCCCGCGCGTGCGTGTTCGTGCTATAGGCAAGGCATATAAAAGTCCACATGGCAATTCTACCTCTTACTCCTCAACAACAATACCATTATTTATAATTTCAAAAAGCCGAGAACCTCTTCTCATGGCTCTTCGCTTGTTCCTCTTCTTTCAAAACGTCACAGCGAAATGTCATGTGCGGGCTGGCGACCCGGGATACCTGCATACAAACACCGGGTTATCCAGAACAAAACGCCTGGTGCACAGATCGATGGAAATCTGCCACCGTCACAACTGCGCATTCACGTAACATGTTCGGATTGTTGACAGTAGCGTCCATATTACCGAGATCTCCTCGCGCAGGCTATCTTCCATCTGTATGAAAAATATTTCCATGGTTCTTACTCCTTCAGCGAGCATACGAATGAGTAATTAACAAATTCGCGATGCAATATATTGATGCTGTCTGTGGGTCAGCAATGCGCTCCGAAAGCAAAACACGGTACCCGCATGTCCCTGAGAGCTCACCATCAGCTCTGCTCTATATTCTCCTGTGGTCTAATTTACCAACAAAAAAACAACGAAGGGCTAGTCAATGTTCGGCGGCTGCGAGAGCAAGTGGAAGAAACGTAAAAAGCGAACAGAACTTTGCATGTGGAGCATGTTGAGTAGCGTCGTATCAAAATTGATCTGGACCATTTCCATGTTGCGTTCTGCTCTGGCAGTCAACATCGGTGCACTGCCACATACAAGAAAAAGCTCAACAGG